GACCACTGACATCAGTGTGTGTGTCTGAGTATTTAATGTTAGTCAGGTACCACCATTAAACTAACAAAAGAAAAGTAAGAAACAACTTCAATGAAAATGTGCAGCCAACACAGTGTGGAGCTGGAGGAACAGAGTAGGCCAGGCAGCATCAGAGGAGAAGGAAAGTTGATGTTTCCAGTTGGAAAATGCCCTTTGGAAGGAGGAGCCCATGTTCTTCTGCCTCTCTAGTATCCACCAGTTGCAGAATTCCTTAAGGTACCAGTAGGCGTGACATTTTCCATCTCCAGGGATAGTGGTGTGCAGCCTGGGCGTGTGGTCCATTGACAGTCTGAAAGGTCACTGGTGTTATGAACAGCAAAAGGAAGTGCCGTGCAAAAACTTGTAATAATTGGTCATGTAAACCTTTTCTTGAAGCTATCTGAGAAATATGGCAAAGTGTTTAGCATCAAGCTCGGACCCACAACTACAGTGGTGCTGACTGGCTACGAAGCAGTGAAGGATGCCCTCGTGAACAATGCAGATGAATTTGGAGAAAGAGCACACATCCCAATATTTGAGGCAACTTTGAAAGGACATGGTAATATGCATCTTTAGCTACATTGTTGTAAAATTGATAAGTTAAAATCAGGCTGTATTCTGTCCCCGTTTGAATAATGAATATTTTTCACTGTTTGGAAAAGGTTCATTTTTTTTGAAGTACTATCTTTTAAAGAGCTTTGAAAGATTAAAACAAACCCTTCAAATATGGTTGTAACTAATTCCCTGTAATTTCTAAAACATACACAATATCCAGTAATTATAGCCATTATACGACAATTGGTGACGTTAGCATGAGGATGTTTAGTAACTTCATTTGGCACCTTATTTTCCATAATTTTTAAAGTGATACTAATAACATATTTAGTAATACACAAAGGTTATACTGTCAGGGTTGGGAACATAACTTATTCTTACACTGAGTGACACCTTGGCTCATGTGTGAAATAGCTCACTTTTGCCTCAAGTTTCTGAATATCTTTGGTTAACAGAAGCCAATTGAACTCCAATCTAAAATTAATATTTGACCCAGCATCAACTGAGATTTATGTTTCATGGAGAAGGGCAGGAGGAGGCTTGTGTAGGCCCCAAATGCTGATGTGGACTATTTGGTCCCAATGACTTTTTTCTGTGCTGTAAATTCAACACAAGCCTTGTAGACAATGTAATGCCTTACATATATGTTCCTAATATCGCTGATAATAATTTTAAGGCTTCTAACACATTATATTCAAATTATTTATCAACTGAAGAATATTAACTTGATCTGTTAATTGCAGATATTTTTATGTTTGACAGTTTTATGACTTTTCAGACAAAAAAGCTTTTGTGCATATAATAGTGTTGTTAAATGAAACATTCTCCTGTTCAACCATCAATCCCATGTTGAGTGTAAGCAGCTTGAAGTAGAGACCCCACTGCCTTGTCATACTATCTACTCTCAGCTATGGCGCAACCGATTGCAATCTTATGTCTGAGTCAAATAGTGTGGGCTCAAATTTCACCTCAGATTTGAACATATAATCCAGGTTAACAATCCCAGGTAGTAGAGGAATGCTGTATTGTCAGAGGTACATTTCTTGGAATTCCCATCTTGTCTCTCCGATGGGAATAAAATGTCTCGTGATATTATTTAAAATAAAGCAGAGAACTTTTTTTCCTGGTGTTCCAGCTATTATTAAGTTAACTTATGAGGAGAGATCATACAAATTAGCCCTGTTTGCTCTTGAATTTAGAAGATGAAGGGATGATCTGTTTGAAGTCTTTTGAGGTATTAACAGGAAATTATAAACAAGACAAGGAACAGGAAAAGAAACAGGCTATAAACGGGAAAACAATAGGTACAGATACACTATTCCATTGGTTGGGGATTCTAGAACAAGCGGCATAGTCTGAGAAGTAGTGCCAGGATCTCATGAAGGGTGGAATAGGCTTGAGGGGCTGATTGGCCTCCTCCTCTTCCTATATTGCTATCTTCCTATTTGTCCCACCATCAACATCTCCAAAATAAATAGTTTGTGGAAACTCACTGTGTGTAAATCTGTTAGCCCATTTACTATAGTCTAACAGTGACTATGCCCGAAAAGTATCTTGGGGACCAAAGCATTTGGAATGCCCAGAGGTTGCCTCTAGAAGTATCCTGCATAGAAATATTCCACTACAGAAATGCTCACTTCACTGTCTGCCATTTCTCTCATTTGTCATGCCCTCGATTCTATGAGGAAAGTTGTCAATTAAAATGAGGATTGCAAGTGTCACAATGTTTGCTTTTTTCTGATGGATTTAATTTAGGGTATTATTTTTGGTCATGGGGAGTCATGTAGGCAAATGTGAAGATTTGCTCTCACCACTTTACGAGATTTTGGAATGGGAAATAAAACCATTGAAGACAAAATAATCGAGGAATCAGATTATCTGGTAAAAATAATTGATTCTCATAAAGGTGAGTTTGTGTAAGGTAAATGAACAGAATTTCCATTGTTTATTTTGTCTGTATGTGTTATTTATGAATGCAAATGTACATTAAAGAATCACAGAAATTCATAATACAGAAAGGGACCATTCAGACCACAGTGTTTCTGCTAGCTCTTTGTAAGAACAATCCAAAACTTATCGCAATTTTTGTGGTATTGCAACCCCCACCCCGCTGTGTTTTCAAATAGATCACATCTGATTGAATAGACCAAGTAGTTGATAGATTTCTAGTTCATCAACCTCTCAATTCATGAACTGTTCTGCAGTTGCCTAGCTCAATTTGGAGATTGAAGGAGTCTTGAAAAATTCTGGTGAGAGTGTCTGCTATCTCCTGTCTATCTTCCTTTAACAGCCAAGGGAACAAGCTTCAGGGCCTTGCCTGAAGAGTAATGCAATTATGATTTCATGTAAAGTGTAATAACTTCATAGAGATTGGTATTCTTTCACCTAGTCACCCTTTATGTACATGTGCATAGTACTTGACTCTTGTCTGGCTCCCTCAGAGCCAGGTCTCGGAGTGTACAGAATTTCTGACACTCCTGTTTATATCTGTCAGCCAGGGCTCCCTGATTGGGCCAGGTTTACAGCCCAATCAGGGAACTCATATTCTGTGGGTCCACCTGGCGACCTCGTTACAGTCACTACATAAAGGGTCAATACTTGATTGAGTGTGATATTTAAAATTTCTTTTGCAGGCCAACCGTTTAATCCAACTATCCAACTGAACTCTGCTGTGGCCAATATAATTTGCTCTATAGTTTTTGGTGACAGATTTGATTATGAGGATGCAAAGTTTGTTAGTTTAGTAAAGAGAGTGAATGAAAACATTCAACTTGCTGGTTCACCCATGGTCCACGTAAGTCTCATCTTTCATTTGAATTACATATCAGAAGAAACCATTTCCAACTTGCAGTAATTGGAAGGGGTTTGTTCATGAAGTCTCAGTAAATCTGTGGTGCAATATAATTGGCCATTAATTGCCCAGTTAACGGCCTTAATTGAGGTGTGGGCAGGCAGGCTGCCCTAGGCCTGCCCTTCCTAAACATAATATGGTGGACACGTTTTGGGACAGACAGGTGAATGGCAGGGTAATCCACAAAAGTTTACAGTCTCCTGTGACTGCAAACCTTCTCATGAAACTGTACCCTACAATTCAGCTTTGAACAGATTCAATATATGCTCTCTTGAGAGAACAAATCAGTCCCCAAATCTGCCTATTTCAAACAAAGTCTTATTTTCAAATTTATAGTCTTGGTTCTAAATACCTTGACAAAGTGAAAATATCCTCTCAACTACCCAGTCAAGCTGCCTCAAAATCTTGGGTTTCTGGAAGATGCCTATTATTCATTGAAACTGGCCTATCCAACACTGAAGGTGATCATTTGGTCCAGTGTTCCTACTCCAGTTCTTTTGAAAGAATTATGCAATGGTCCAAGCCCCTTTCTCAGTCCCATAAATTAGCATATCGATTGTTTGAAATATTTATCCAATTCCCTTTTGAAAAATATTGAATTTGTCTAAAAGCTCTTTCAGGCATTGCATGATGATAACTATAGTAAAAAACTATAATTATTCACAACGTTTAAAAACCATTGTATTTACCAAAGATTCACAATGTTCAAAAGATTTATCTATCACTTTTTCCAAAATTGCAATTACTTAGATGTGAACAGATAATTGGCTTGGTTTGGTATATATGTTAATAACATGATGTTATTTTGATTCTGCAGCTGTACAATGCATTCCCAGTCCTGAAATTCCTTCCAGGAGCTCACAATAAATTTTTTATTAATATACAAGAGACAAACAACTTCCTCAAAGGCTTCTTCAAAGAAAATCGTCAGAAACTAGATGAAAATGATCTGAGGAGTTTTATTGATGTATTCATGCTTAGACAACAGAAGGTAAAAGCTCCATTTCTTTTTAAGAATTTGTCACCTTCTCAAAGTTACACTTACGTATCTCGGAAAAAGAAAGTCAACTTTGTTCAGTTTAGCGTTGGCATGATGAGCTGAATAGACTCCTTTTATGCTGCAAATGTATATGATTCGAGGTAAAGGTTGTGAAAAGAGTCATTCTTTTTATAAAGAAAGAACTGGCATTTGCACAGTGACTTTCATAACCCCAGGAAGCCCCAAAGCACATTACAGCTGATGAAGTAGATTTGAAGTATAGTCACTTTTCTGATATAGATTTGTCCAACATCAATAAAATCTGGCTAGAGCCTCATTTCTATTTGTGGGAGTTTGCTCTGCTAAAATTGGTTGTGCACATCCAGCAATATAATATTGGCGGCACTGCAAAAAACACTTGTTATTGAATTTAAGGTGCTTAGCAACATCTTAAGGTCTTGAAAGGCTCAATGGATCAGATTCCTTTGCTATACGTTGATCTGAGAGCCGGACAGTGCCTCAGGATAACATCTGTTTGGAAAGACTGCACTTCTGACAGTTCAACCTTCCTCAATACTATGCTTGATTAAACACATGGATTCATCGTGTTCCTGGCCCCTATTCTGTGCTGCAATACCCAATACTCAATGTTTTGGGTTAATTATACATCATGGATCCTACAGTACAGGTGCCAATCCAGTTCTGAGCTACTGCATTCTTAATTTTGCTTTTAAGAATCAGACAACCCTAATTCATACTTCTGTCAAGACAACTTAATCTACACAACGCCTAACCTGTTTGCTGCAGGGATGGAGACCACCTCAACCACACTTCGTTGGGGATTGCTTCTGATGATGAAATATCCAGAAATCCAGAGTAAGAAGCACTCTTATTAATTCACTCTGGAGCTGACCTTATTGTATGATTTTTGATGTCTCATATTCTCCATTTATCGCTGTTGAGATTTTGAACTTGTTCAAAAATATATGACAGTACTTCCAATGACATTAAGAATGTGCTTGGTTTGCAGAAAAGGTTCATGAGGAAATTACCAGAGTTATTGGATTGGAACGACCTCCCAGAGTTGAAGATCGGAAAGATTTGCCTTACACAGATGCAGTGATCCATGAAATTCAGAGGTTTTGGGACATTGTACCACTGGGCATAACATATGAAACAACAGTGGATGTAAACTTCAAAGGATACTTCATTCCAAAGGTACCCTCGGGAAAGGACGGCTACATTCAGGGCCGGATATACAGAGGAAGAAAGGGAACTTTGAAAACTGGTTGCGCTGTGCAGCATTAGTACCTGAATGACTCAATCTCATCAACTTACACATACCAATGTCTGACTGTATTTGGGTATATTATTAATATTGGAATATCTGCAGGTAATCGAGGAAAAAAAGAGGAGTGGAGAACTAAATTGAAAAGATGTGGCTTGACCACAACATTTTGTATTTGCGAAGCCCCTCTTAATGTAGTAAAGCATCTTAAGAACCTTCACAGGAGAGTTGTTGAAGAATAATTAATACCAGAAGCCACAAACTGAGATATATGGACATATAGCCAAAAGCTTAGTTGAAAGGCAGGTTTTAAGGAACTTGTTAAAGGAGGAGAAAGAGATAGAGTCAGACGGGATCCTCCTGCAAGCACAGCCACTAATCCTGGAGCAATTAAAATCAGTGATGCTCAGGGAACTACAATTAGAATGTAAATGCTATTTCTAAATTTCCAATACATTTATCAATGAGCAACTGTGCAATTATTTTCAACAGTGCCTTGGATTATAATAATAAAAACACAATACAGAAATTATATTTTAATATTTTTAGGGAACCCATGTAATTCCAGTGCTGACCTCTGTGCTATATGATAAAACTCAATGGGAAAAACCAAATGAATTCAACCCATCTCACTTTCTGAATGCTGAGGGCAAGTTTGTGAAGAGAGATGCCTTCATGCCTTTCTCTGCAGGTAACAGAACTTATTAATTTTTGCATGATATGGGAGTGAAATATTCCCTCCCTGGCTGGGGAGAATAAGATGTAGGAGATGCATCATTGAGAGAATTTTAGTTCTGTTGGGGCAGCACAACAGCTCAATGATTAGCACTGCTGCCTCACAGCCCCACTGACCCTCCCCGTGTGTGCATGGGTTTCCTCTGGGTGCTCTGGTTTCCACCCACAGTCCACAGATGTGCAGGTTAGGTGGACTGGCCATGCTAAATTGCTCATAGTGTCCAAGCATGGGAACTAGCTATGGGAAACGAAAGGTTACAGGGACAGGGGAGGTGGGGGGTTGGGAGTGGGTGGGATGCTCTCCAGAGGTGAGGACTTGATGGGTGGAATGACCTGCTTCCACACTGTAGAGATTCTATGATTCTGTGCTGGAGTGGGGGAAAGGCATTTGTGGCTACTGTCGAAGCAAAATCCATTTCAATATCTGTGCGCATAGTTTTTAACTGGGAGATTGTGTAGTAATCAGGAATGGGAATCTGGGGTAATGTGTCTTTCCCATAAGCCTGAAAAAACTTATTTATCTCCACAAAGGTGAGATTAATTGTTGGCACAATGGAATTAATGAGCTTTACTTGACTAAAGATGCACCTTTCACAACTACAGGGCATTTTAAAGTTGTGCTCATCAGCATTCTAGAATATATGATCATTGTTGAAATGTAGGGAATCTCTACAGCCATCAATACACAATGGCTACAATTTGAAGTGTTAACTGGAAACTAGCCCCTCTGACAATGCAGCCCTTGCTTAATACCACAGTGAGAGCACCAGCCTAGATTTAGTGTCCTGGGTTCTAGACTGGTGCTTGAATTTACAGCCTGCAAGATGAGTGTACTACTCACCGAGCTGTGGTCAGCAGCTTGTGTCATTGATAAATTTCACCCAAACCTGAAAACGTTTGCATCTAGGCCATGTAGAGATATTGTTTCAAACAGGCAGTATAAAACAGCAAGATCCTGTTTATTATAAATAAAGGTACTGTGAATAACATTGTGTGATAAAGAGTAGCTTTGTGATATTATTTGTAATTGTGTTTTTGCAGGTCGAAGGATTTGTGCTGGTGAGACCCTGGCTAAAATGGAGCTATTCTTGTTCTTTACCACTCCGATACAAAATTTAAGTTTCAAGTCCCACCAAATGTCAGTGAACTGGAGCTCGAGTCCAGTGTTGGTTTTACTTAATTCCCAAAGTTCCAAACTGTGTGTGCTGTGCTTCGCTGACGTAACCACCTCATTCATGATTTACCTGATTTTCATACATATAAACTTTTATTCACTTCAATATGTGTGTTCTCTTGTTTCTTCACCCAGTGTCTATTAGACCGTCATAGTTGCCATTGGGCTTAGTTATCATTCTGTTGATGTTTATGATGCTATGTTCACTACACAAACTAGCTCAGTCACTTATACACAAAGGAGTCAGAAGGTTCAGTGAATTGAGAAGTATGCCATGAGATCTGAATTTCCTGGCTGATTTTTGCTGCCATCCCAAGAATCCCTATAATGTGGAAACAGGCCATTTGGCCCAACAGGTCCTCACCAACCCTCTGAAGAGCATCCCTACCCTATCCCTGCATTTCCCATGACTAACCCTACCTAGGCTGCACATCCCTGAACGCTATAGGCAATTTCCCATGGCCAATCCACTTAACTTGCACATCTTTGGACTGTGGGTGGACACCAGAACACCCAGCAAAACCCATGCAGACACAGGGAGAATGTGCAAACTCTACACAGACAGTCATTCGATGGTGGAATCGAACTCAGGTCCCTGGCACTGTGAGGCAGCAGTGCTAACCACTGGGCCAGCGTGCTGCCCAGTTAATCTTGCAGTTATTTTTAATAACTTGTTAGATTCCCTGATTAATTAGCAATCGAATATATGGCATAAAATATCTCTCTCACCCTAACCTAGATAGTGGTTTGTGTTGAAGAGCTGGGTGTTTCACATTAAGTAATGGGAGGGGAATGAAATCTGTTGCATTAATGCCAAGTATGAGTGTCAGATGCATTATGTCATTTCCTTGATCTTTATAAACATAGCTTTCATTACACTGAACATTTTGCATATATCATCCTTAAATTATACGTCCCAACTAGATGAGCCACCTCCTCCGCCAATATGCCTGTTGGTTTAATACATAATGATGAACAGACATTTGTACAGTCAATAAATTACCCTTGTAAGTGAACATAAAGGTTGCCAACTCTGGTCATATTCCTGGAGGTTTAATTATTTGACCTGTAGCCTCCACCTTCCCTAACCTCCAGCTCTGCCAATGTCACTTCCGGTGTCCTGCCCAGCCAATTATTAAACAGCCTCTTTGTTACACAATTGGATCATTCTTCACTGTCAGCTTTTTATTCCTCCATTACCTTTTTCTTACATAAGTAGTAATTGCTCGAAAAAAAATTTTGTGTCCCTATGATATTTTAGCTAAGCTGCACCTGCCGTTGTTCTGGAGATTAATCTTTTATTCCTGGAGACTCTGAGACAGTTGGAGGTTTGGCAACTGTACATTGGCCAGCACAATTTTAAATTAATTTGCAAGGCTAGTCTCTGGCAGGGGAAATGGATGCTGAAGGTTCATATAAGAGTTTAATCCATGTGGTTAGGCTGCACTTAGAGTATTGTGTTCAATTCTGGTCGCCACACTACAAAGAGGATGTGAGGCTTTGGAGAAGGTGCAGAAGAGGTCTACCAGGATGCTAGACAACAAGGTGTAGAGCTGGATGAACACAGCAGGCCAAGCAGCATCGTAGGAGCAGAAAGGCTGACGTTTCGGGCCTAGACCCTTCAGAAGGGTCATTTCTGATGAAGGGTCTAGGCCCGAAACGTCAACCTTTCTGCTCCTCTGATGCTGCTTGGCCTGCTGTGTTCATCCAGCTCTACACCTTGTTGTCTCGGATTCTCCAGCATCTGCAGCTCCTACTACCTCTACCAGGATGCTGCCTGGATTAGAGTGAATGAGTTATAAGGAGAAGCAGGAAAGACTAGGGTTGTTTCCTCTGTAGCGGCAGAGGCTGAGAGGGGGCCTGATAGATGTTTATAAAATTGTGAGAGCATAGATACGGTTGACAGAATCTTTTTCCCAGAGTTGAAATTTCTAATACTAGAAGGCATGCATTTCAGGTAAGAGGGAGAAGCTGAAAGGAGATGTGAGGGGTCAGGTTTTTACACAGAGAATGGTAGGTGCCTGGAATGTGCTGCTAGGGGTAGTGCTGGAAGCAGATATGATAGGGGTGTTTAAGGAGCTTTTTGATAAGTACATGACTAAGCGAGGAATGGAGAGATATGGACCATCGGCAGGCAGAAGGGATTAGTTTAACCTGGTGTCATGTTTGGCACGTCATGGGCTGAAGGATCTGTTCCGATGCTGTACTGTTCTATGTTCTATAATTATGGACAGTTTTTTTTCACAAACTCCTTTTAGCAACTGCTCAGAAACTGGAATTTTGCTCTTCATTTTGAAACTTTTTCGGGAGGAAGGTAAAAATTCTCAAAAGCTTTTTACAAATGTCTGCAAAAATCACCAACTAATGTCAGCCAAGTGCTGGCTATTTCATCGGCTTTTTAAAGTAGAACATGTCGCTGGATCTCAGGGAGCCAGGACAGAACTTTGCAAAGACACTGTCATTGACGTACCTTTTCATGTGGACTAGCTCTGCATGCATTGTCAAAATGTAGCAGTTTGCTTTTATCTGTGTTGCACTTCGCCATGTAAATATACATCAGGAATATATATCAGGACTTCAATCCTGTTCTCTCAATGCAAGCATCTGTGATTTGCTTTTCTTGATTAAGGTGTGGAATATTTTGCTGTTCCTCTGTGATTTCTCTACAACATCTCTATGCACTTTTTAATGTTGCTTACCCATAATTGAACACAGTAGGCCAAATCTGATCGATATAGAGTCAGAGAAATGTGTTGCTGATTAAATGTAAAGGCTATTGGTCTGCTTTTCAGATTTATCTTAGGGCAGGTTTAAATCATAGAATGATAAAGTACAGAGGGAGGCTTATTGTGCTTTATGCTAATTCTTTGATACAGTTATCTATACTCTTTCCACGATTAGCCCTGGGAATTCTTCCCAATTGAGTATTTATACTTTTGAAAGTTCTGATTAAATCTGTTTCAACTACCTTTAAGGCAGCAAAATCCAAGTCTTAACAACTTGCTGTGTAATTTCTTTTCTCAGATGGCCTTGTACAATTTGTTAATTAAATTGATGACCCTTATGCCATTGGAAGCAGACTTTCCTTATTTGTTATTATAATATTTCAAGGTTTTGTAAACTATCAAATCTCTTCCATACAAAATAACTTTGTTGCCCCAAAATATGTTTCAATAATCGCTGAACTCTTACTGCTGTGCTCTTAATAAATTACAAGTTACACTGTTCTTTGTGAATCATTAACTTTCTTTATCACCCAAGCCTTGATTTACAGTTTAGTGTTGAAATCTTTTGTTTATCTTAATTTGGTGCACAGGGGTTGGTTAATTTTAAAAATTAGCAAATGCTGAGAAACTGGAAATGCTGCATTATCGGTCAGGTCTACCATAAAACATTGGCTGGAGACCTGCTTTAAACAAGGATTTTTTTGCAGTGCTGTTGTGATACAGTTCACTCATGCAGTAGTGGTTACAATGCCATCATGGACCTTCACACCCATTTTGTAGTCTGTTGGACTATATCCTGATGTTGTGTGATTTTTGACTTTGTGGCGAAGGACAGTGGTGATAGAAGTGTCAAAGCTTTATCCTTGACATATTTGACCAGAAATCTCTCAGAGTGGGAGACCAGCTGTCTGCATGTTGATAAGATTTGCAGGTTGATGCTGAAACTATTTGGCCACATTACAAACACCGCTTCCTCACTTGTTAAGTTGTGCCATCAAGTCCTCAGATTCAAACATTCTTCTTAAGACAATCCCTTCATTTTCAGGAATCAGCCTAGTGAGCCTTCACTGAACTGCTTCCAATGCAAATGTACCTCTCCCAAAGCAAGAGTTCAAAACAGAATATTCCATGTGTGGTCTAACCAGTGCCTGAACAGGTTTGAGTGGGTGTTGTGCTGCCAGCATCTACCTTGTTCAGTACAGCTGCTGGACAAGCAATGACTGGAAGTTGAAGGCAGGTAGGGCTTGAGGAATCCCTGGGAAAGACTAACCACTGCCCAGTTAAGTGTTTGACTTAATACAGTTAAAAGAGACAACAGGGGACTCTCTAACCACTGGCCAAGACTCACAACATCTCCCATACCATCTGATGGGTCTACTGAGGCAGTCCTGTTCATGGATCTTGGCACAACAATACAATACAGTACAGTACACTAGCAGCTTTTCTCAATTTTCTGTGAACAATGTGTTAATAGTCCTCGGAATAAATTTCTCCAAAGATACATTCAAGATTCCACTGTGACTGAACAATAATTTCTATGAGGTCACAATTTCTATTTGACTTCAGGTCAAATACCTTTGGTACTGTATTGCAGTTTGTTCTTCATGACCTCAGTGACTCTTTTGCAGGTGGTAACTAATCCACATTAAATTTGTTTCTGTAGAAATTCTCCCATTAAAGTTGTTAGGAAGGGAAGTTAATAAGTTTTCAGTGGCTGAAGAATTAGTAACAAGGGAGTCCAGATTTTAGATGATTGATAAAAGTAGCAGTGGCACGTTAAGGTAGAACCTTTGCCTAAGCAATGAACGATTATAATTTGAAATGCACTGCCTGACCAAGTGGTGGTTACAGATTCCACAGTAAACACAAAAGAGAAACAAAGTGCAAAGGTCAGGGGGAAAGGGCAGAGGAACTGAATAGATTTGGAAAGAGCTAAATCATAATGATCTCCTTCCAGCCATTCCCATCATTCAATGAACTGAAAGAATGAAACAAGATCCAACATCAACCTCGGCACCAGAAACAACAAAAGCACACTCTGTCCTATTGCTGACATTTAGGACTTGTGCCAAATTTAGGAAAGAGCTATACCATAGACTTAGTCACCACTCTCCAAATCTTATATATAGTAGTCTATGTCCCGGGCTTTTCCATCACCTCTCTGGATATGTCCTGAACCATTAGCAGCACAGATGTACTGGCATAGTCTTACAGTCAGGAGGGAGTTGCCCTGAGACATGGCATTCGGTCAAAAATGGACAAGGAAACCTCCTGCTGATTATTGCTATTGCCTCCCAAATCCCTCGGCTGATTAATCAGTCCCCCTCCATCTCATTGTCAGAGGATATAAAGAGAATCATAAAACCAGAAAATGTTACAA